CATGCATACACCCATGCAGTGCAGCCATTGCAAGCAAGCACAGGCCAAACACACTTTAGTGTGTGTGTGTGTGTGTAATATAGGCAAAATAGCTCATACTGTATATGCACATAAAGTACACACAAATAGTAAAGCATCTTTCATATCCAGGCATTGAGGGGATATAGCTCTCTATCACAGCTCACTCACTAACCCTTTAGTTGTTTCACAAACCTGTGTTCTTTGTTTCAACAGAGGGGAAAACAAAAACATTGTGGAACAGGGATTTGGCACAGCCCAAGTGTGTTGTTGGATTTGGGGCCATTCAATCACAGCAAGAACCAGCCAGCGCTGCTTAGGTTTAGGCTTGATCTGCAATCATCGGGAGGGGAAAGAAAGGACTCTTTCATGTGCTATTGCAATTAACAACCCCCATACTGGCATAATAAATCACCAATAAGAGCTCAAAGTGATTGTTCTTAAGCAGGAATAAAAAAGAGAGGAAAAAGGAGAGATGGATCCATTCTCTTGTCATTTCCCAACACAGCTTCCCATTTCTCCTCTAATGCTGTTCACATGTCCAGGAAACCAGCCTGGCAGACAGCAAGTATAGGAAATCTATCTGCATGTTTGACTGTTTTATCTGGAGCCAGACTCAGAGTGTACTGTAGACCTGCCAGGACGACACACTTGGACATCCAGTGATGGAGGATCTGCCTCTGTGTTTGCTTTCATCAAGCTACGAGAGCCTAGATGAGTTTAGATGTCTCTTTGAACAATTAGCATTAATTAAGTGGACCTCCCCACTTGTTTATGTAGCTGATAACACTGTCTAGTACACGTTTTATTTGTCTCTTGGGAGAATCTCTGAGAGTTTAGATACCACTGTATCCTACACGGCAATCTGTGTGGTTTAGGGTTAAATGGGAGCCTTCAAAGCATAGAAAAGTCTGTTCTCAGTTGGTTTCCAACTGCCACTGTATTTATGTGATTATTATGGGTTTCTGTGTGTCAAGCATTGTGAATGTGACAATAATAACGTGTAGCCATTTTGATTAGCAATGCTTCTTCTTTTGCTTTACAACTTGTGCTCAGAGGAGGGTTAGCTTTGGTTTCTTGGTCTTTTGCTTTCACAGATATTTGTGGAAGTGTCATTCCCAGCTGAGACTGTTTTCAAGTGAGTCATCAAGACCTTCTTTACCACTCCTCTCCCTCTCTCTCTCTATCTCCCTCTCTTTTTATCTCCCTATTTCTGTCTCTCACATACATACACCCATTGACCCATACATAGATGCACCATAATGGAAAAAAAGTATATTTTATGTATGTGTGTGTTCAATGAAAAACTGGATGAAAAAAAATTTAAAGACAGAAAAAGAGTGAGGGAGAGAGAAAAAAGCCCTCCAGCCTCTTGTAAACATGCTGTAGCTAGAGAGGCTGTGCAACACTCTCAGTGCCACTCTCTCAACAACGCTAATTATCAACCAAAGACATGCTAATTACATAGAGCTTTATTGCTAATGTAGCAGGCCTCTATGCCAGCCGCCCACACTCAGAGCTCCGCTCCCCTACCTCTGTCTCTCCTCCCACTACACCTTCAGGCACAGCAGCAACAGAAGGAGAGAGATGCATGCATTTTGTATACTTCTAAAGACAAGAGCTTTCTACAAATTCTAAATTAAATATGTCACATATCAAATGTCATATATAAGATCTTATTGTTCCTCTGTGGGGGAGCCTAGATTTTGTATACATCCCTAAATCCAGCAGTTCATCTTGTTCTTGACCTCTTCCTCATCATCCTACCATCTCAACAGGAAGTCCGCTTCGCTTCTGCCTCCCCCCAAACTCAACAACCCACCCACGTTCCTGCACCTGTGACGTAGCCTAGCAGCGGCACACAAGGCTCGGCGGGAGAGCTCCAACCCCCCCGTTCCCCTCGCCTATACTAAATGTGCTAGTGTCAGGCCTGTGGCCAATCCCGTTAGCACGCCGCAGCTAAGGCTGAAGGCCTCTTCAGATCGATTTCTCCCGCTGTGAGTTGCTCTGAGTCCTCCAGGGATCACAGTGTAGGTAGTGCTCTGCAGCACTCTCCCCCACTAGGCTCTTTAGCGTCTTCCCCTGACACGGCTGTTTACACGTTAGCCATCCTCTGCTCTCTAATGGAGACACAGTTTAAGAGAGAGCTTCAAAGCTGGGAGCTCTCGTCACAGGCACTTGCTGAAACATGTGACAAATCTCTTCATGGGTTGAGCTGGGGCAGGGTAACACACTGCCTATAGAGTGGCTGAAGGGCTTGGTGTATAAAGGATATCAGTGCTTATAGGCACATAAGGGATATGAGTGGATGCCAAATGGGTTAATGTAAATGATATAATGCATAGAGGATTATTTTGTATCCCTTCTGATATTCTTGGATATGATTAATTTTGCACAAACTTTGGCACTTCATATGGATTTCTAACAAGACTACTAAGCTTTGAGGACACTAACCCACAGATGTAAACAGCTTTACTGATTAATTAATGTTTAAGTCTTGCACAAAATGGGACAAAACTGATTTCACGTTTTAAAAAAGAGAAAAGCTTACAAAAGTTACAGCCTTAGCAATATTAATAATTCAAAAAAAGGCTGAGTAATATGAATTATAGGAAGGCAATAAGAGCACATACTTCCCCGCAAAAAAAAGAATGAGCTCTTCTGTGCCTAGTGGATTTATTTGTGCTTCTATCCTGTCCATGATAATGCACCCAGACCATTCTCTTTGTTTTCATCATTAAGGTTATCCATATGTTGAGTGCTGTATCACTTGATGTATGGGTTACATTAACACACTACATATTTGACTGCACCAAAGGAAATAGTGATGGAACAAAAGCCATAATGACAACAGCAAACCACTGTTAAGTTTGCAATTAATGCAGTGCATTTATTAATTTATTAAACCTTAAAAAACATTATATGATGGAAAAGATAATTATATAGATGGTGATGATGTAAGGCGAAATCTCTTCCAAAGCAGAGGATAATTGATATCAATGTATAAATTCAAAAGGTTTGTAGTCAGGTGCCATCTGGAATAGCAGGAGTGTTCCCAGTGGGCCTGTCCATCCATGGATGGGCAACAAGCCCAGAAACACCCATATGAAAAGATAAAAACATGTCCCATGCTGTTTGAGTCTGTGTTAGACTGGGCAGCCAGCTCTACAGGTGCGTGTAGTATACATTTAAATTATCTCACAGGTCCCCACTTTTCCTTTTGGTCTTTTTAAATCCTGAGCTGACAATGACAGACTTAAAGTGTTGTGTATAAATTATTTTTGAATTACAAACTAAGTAAGCATAAATAATAAAAACAAAGAAGTACATATTCTTCTCTAGTCAACAGGTAGGACATAGTTGAGGTTTTCTATGACATATATATATATATATATATATATATATATATATATATATTGCAAAATTATACTACAAAATG